TTATTCTTGCATATATTTCCTACACTGGCCAATTTGTGCTGTTAGCAAATATAACCTTGATGGGTAACTGGTAAACTAATTATTGAATGTCTTTTTCTGATCATTTTGGGAGATAGGAGCAGTAAGATTGTTGGTAACATCCTTTGGTTTATTACTGTATGAATAAATACCTGATGACTGTGTTCTAGGATAAATTTCTAAATTGAAAGCATAATCAAGTTTATACCTACCAGAGCACATACTTTTATGCCATATTTTGAACACTTATTTGGCAAATACTGCCTAAAGCTACAGCAATCACGAAATGCTGCAAACTGTTCATCAATAATCAAGTTGTTCAGATGGTGTGTAAAATGCTTGACATTTTGAGACAAAGCTCTCAAACCATGGGCAGATAGCAGCCAGATTATTGGTTATTTTTCTCTCTTGGTTGGTGATTTTGTCCTCAAAGCTCAGGCAATTTTGAAGAAAATCAAATATTCTCAGTGATTTTATTCTGCAAACCTCAAGCCCACACCCATCACTTTTCTACAAGTCTTTTACATTTCTGTCATTACCATGAGAAAGCCCGGCTAAATACAGCAGACTTATCAATGCTTTCGGTTCAGATATTGAAGTATCACAATAAATACATTTTCAAGTATGACTACTGGAGCATACAGAAAGTTTTACCTATATTACATCATTTTTGTATTTCACAACATCTTGTAGCATATCATCTGTTACAAACAATTTCCAACATTGAATCATATTGCTGGCATTCCATCTAGTAGGATTCACCCCTGCCAAGAACCTAATTATGTTTTTGGACTTAGTTCTAACACTGGATGGTTGAGACACGTGGACCATTTTGTTCCATTTTGACTAGTTAAGTATGTACTCAACATTACTGTTTTTTTCCTTATCTGAATGAAGTTCTTCATTTGCTGTGTCTGCATTTGTCCACTGATACTTTATCTCACTGTCACAGGAACTTTGTCTTAAATGACCAGCATCAAAGTCGTCGTCATCATCATCATCATCATCATCTGTGCATGAGTCATCTGATGACTCACTTTGGATTTCCTCCCAAACATTCAAATCTGATTTTTCATATGCCATTGCACTGGATTGGGCTAATTCTACAAAAAAAGCAAAAGAAAACTTAAAAAAAATCTTCTAAATGTGCACAAATTTAACAGAGAGCATTTCATGGATAAAACACCTGTTGCTACTTTAGAGCTCCAGTATACATCTTGTCCTTTATTGACAGATGGGTTCTTATTTTCCCCAGGTGTAGCTACTGTAAGACCCATCCAGCTTCCTTTATAGTAAAGTACATTATTTACATTACAAAAGTATGTTATGGGTATATTTTAACCCCCTGTTGTTCAGGATACACACATAAAAATTTACATGCCACATTTTGTGGTCAAAAATCTTGATTTGACACATTTGCATATGTGTACACACCTTGCTATTTGTCATAGCAAATGAGTGAGCACAAAAATTGTTTTCTGTATTGCCCAGGCACAGCTACTGAGATGCACAATTGGCTACCATAACGCTAAAGCCCATAATTTCATTAGAATATATGGGATGGGTATATTTTATCCACCACAACACCCAAAGGGCAGACTTCTGTTGTTCGATTTTTTATGGTTTATTTTCCCCTATGGCTAGAGAAAGTTTCTCATCTATGGTCATTTTCATAATAAACAGAAAACATGTAGTAAACCTCAATTGTTACTTAAGAGCATCTTCACTTAGCAAATTAATTTGCCTGAGTTGGTGGAGAGGATTTGGTGAAATGATAAATGTATAAAAGACTTTCTCCAATTCAGAAGTAAAAAAACACATCTATATTTTCTGTTTGTAAAGTTTTTAAGCATCCCAGTATAATCATATTTAAGATTAGGGAAAATATACTTAAGAAATCTGTATAGGTATGATGATTCTCCCCAATAGATCCATTGCTTACATGTATCCAACTTGGAGGTGGTATTAGTTTTCTATTGCTGCTGTAACAAATTATCATAGCCTTAGTGACTTAAAATAATACAAATTTATCATAGTTTCATTGATTAGAATTCTAACAGAGTTCTTACTGGGATAAAATGAAGAAGGTTATCTCTACATGTGACATGTCAGTAACATGACATGTTACTCAAGAATACATGAAAATAAATTTATCTATTTATCTATGTTGGTATTTGAGATGAATTCAGGCTATACACAGTGACCTACAAGCCAGTCCCTTTTTATTTTTATTTTGAGACAAATTCTAAGTTACTACACTTGGGCTAGAACTTACATCCCTCTTGCCCTATCCTCCTCACGTGGTGGGGTAACAGTATGCACTACCATGCCTGAAAGGCTTATTTCTTATATTAAAACCCAAAGCTCAAATAATCCTGGATGACTTTTCCTTGTGATATGAAAAAATCTAAATTCTTCACATTTACATAATCCCTTGTTTTATATGTTTGTCAACTTAAAAAGAAACTGTTTTAAAAAAAGAGATTACTGTCTCAAGCAATTGACCTCAAAGTGACAGAAAATAAATGAAACATTAGCTAGACTCTAGGATAGAGAAGCTGACCTTAAAGTGATAAGAAATTTTTTTCTCACTCTGTTGGGAGTCACTCTAAAGTATACAGAAATATGAATATGTATTTAGAATGAGAAATCACAGTATCTTGCTGAAAAATTGGAGATGCCAGTTATTTATCTGTTTGCTTATTTTTCTAGTGTGAGAGGAGAAACCTTGCACCACACACATCTCTACCACTGAGGTACACCTTTACCTCACCTCAGGTTCTTGAGATGAGACCTCTTTAGTTAAATGAATATTAGTGTTTATTCAGACTGTGACATATAATAAAATTATTTGATTTACTTACATATTGTTTTGTTGGTGATTGAATCTGGGTTTTAATACTAAGTACACGTACAACCACTGAGCTGCATCCCTAGCCTATTGTTTACTTTTATGTATCATAGCCAGGCGTTGTGGCACATGTTTGTAATCCTAGCACTCTGGAGGCTGAGGCAGGAGGGTCCTTGCAAGTTTGAGTTTGTAGCCTGGGCTACAAAGTGAGCTCAAGGCCAGCCTGAACTGCATAGTGAGACCCTGTCTCAAAAAGCCAAACAAAACAAAACAAAACTTTTATGTATCATAACAAAGCTTGTCAAGCTGTGTAAAATAATGGAAAGGGTGAGCAACAAGAATTGGCTCTATGTTTGCAAGGTTTGAGATGTGATGATCACAGTTTATTATCACACAAAAATGTTTTCCCTCTTTTAGGTTCACAATATTTAAAGTAGGGGAGTATCAGAATAGACTTCACAGAGAATATACTTGTCAGATGAGATATACCAACTATATCATAAGTGAGGTCAATTATTAGTCGCTCAACTAGGATGGAAGTAGGCTTCTTCTTGGAAAGTGAAGTGGAATTGCAGATTGAGGGTTGCCTTTATACAAGCTACTCTGCAAGAAAATGCATCAACCACAACTGAGAGCTGATGAGGTCCTTTGACTCCACCAAAAGAAAGGTGCTGGTAGGGGAAGCATTTGAGATCAGTTGGGATCTCAACTGTGAAAGGGCCAGGCTCTGTCACAGCCCGAGCAGGTGGTATTTGGAGAAGCAGCAGACAATGTAGTCCACCACTACAGGAGTTACTGAAGTCTGTCAAGCTTTTGAGTTTCTATATATTTTAAATTCTAGTAGTTGAAGTCTCACAAGTGGAGTCTGGTAAGGTATAAAATCATTTTCTCCAAGGGGGAGGGAGTTTTATGCTCTTCTCATAGTAACATATGTATCACTCACTAGCCAAAGAAGTGTTTGGAATCATTTCAAAATACATGATGTTCTACTATTTACCTAGTCATGTGGATTAATATTGCAAGCGAAGTTAAAATTGTACAAGCATGCAGCTACATTTAAATTTAGTATATCCATGTTTTTGCATAATGACTCATGAGTTTTTTGAGTAAAAGTTCATTTATACGACATATACTTAATTTTCGTAAAATGTTAAGTACTCTTAGATTATAGACGTTTTCAGGCTGCGTAGTTTGGCGTGGTGGTTGTTTTAAAGTTACTTTAAACGCTGTAACTGCCTTCCGACGCGCCTAAGACCCGTCTCCAGTGCGCGTGGGAATGGGCATCAGCCAAGGGCGAACTTCAACAAGCGGTGTGCTGTACCTTGGATCAGTATTCTGAGTCGCTCTCATATTTAATTCTATTTAAACAAGACGACAGCACAACACAAAAGCCTTGCAGCCCTGGGCTTCCGCCCTCCCCGCGCACCGCGCTCTCCTCACCGGCTACCATGAGCGACAGCCACGCGGCGCAGCGTTCCGGGCGAGCGCGTGGGGGCGCGCAGCCAAACCTAGCGCAGAGGCGGGCACTCACACATGCCTGCGGCTCGGACGACCCCTCGCAACCTGACCTTCAGGGCCAGCCTGGCACACAGCCTTCCTATTCCTAACTCCGGGGTTCGCTGCGGAGCGAAAAGCAACCGTGAGCCAACAGCTGGCGGCAGCACCGGGCCGCGGACCGCACGGCCCGGCAGGCTCTCCTCGGTCGGACCGGCGCAGGCTCAGCCGGCGTCTAGCAGTGAGTTTCTGCCCACACTCACCCGGCGTCTAGCATGAAGGCAAGCTAAGCTCCGCGGAGAAGGCCACGAAGAGGCCTCCTGAAGGGGAGAAAGATGATTGCACGGGGGAGAGCCGCCCGCTGCCACAGGGCTCCAGTAAACCCGGGGCGCACAGCCCCGCCCACCCGGCACTCCCTGCTTGCCGGCCCCGCCAACTGCCCCGCCCTCCCTCCTGCCACGCCCCTCCCTCTTGGCCCACCCGTCGAAGGACCTGTCCAGCCGTCCCCTCCTCTCCCTCTCGGCGTCCCGCCCACCCGGCCTGCCCTGCTTTGTGGCCCCACCCCCGTCCCTCCGGCCACGCCCTCCAGGCGTCTCCGCCCTGCCCGGCGCGCGCGCCCAGGGGAGCGCCGTGCAGTGGGCGGGGCCCCGCGCTGACGTTGCCGGGATGCAGGAAGGTTCCACCGCCTCTTTGGCCGCCTGCGCCTCTGCTGCTATTAGGGTTTGTATGAAAACACCGGTGACGGGCGTTGCGGGACCCGCTGGGAGCTCAGACTGCGGCCGCCGGTGTTGCCCGCGCGGAGCCGGCACCCGCCGGACCGGCGCCCCTCCGAAGCCGGTGAGCGTCCCCGCTGCCGTCGGCTCTGCCGGCCTCGGAGCGCAGCCGGGCCGCAGCCCCTCACCTGCCAGGCGGGCGTGGACGCGGCCTGAGGCGCAGCGTACCGAGCTGCCCGCGGGGCCGCGTCGCCCTGCGCCCCACCGCGCCAAGGCGACTGTCTGGTCCGTGGGCCGGGCAGAGTGGGGGTTTCGGGGCCCGGCCGGCCGGGCCTCCCACCGCCCAGGCGTGTCTTCTGTTTGCAGCTTGTCCCCGGGCACCAGCCTTGCCCTGCTCGCGTCCCTCAATGACAGTGCAGAGTCGGGTTCTCAGGGCCCGGGTCGCGGGCTCCTCAGCCAGCACTGCGGCTCTGGGTTTTCCGCTGCTCGGGAGTTCAGGGCCGTTCGCAGTGGTCGGGTCACCTCTCAGGCAGTTCACCCATTGTAGGACAATTTTACTACACCGTAGTGTAGCCGAAAGAAGTGCTGATAATTTAAAACTCGTTTACCATCTCACCGGGGCTTGCCTGAGTGCCTGAGGATAACTCCTGGTGGGAGTTTTCTTTGGCACTCAATGTTAATTCTGTGAGTTTTTTCTTTTTGCTTTAGGTATTCAGGATTGTAGGGGTGTTAAATTCTAATGCATGACAGTTTGTAGTTAGGACTTTAATAATCATTGTGGTCACGCATTTTCACTTTCCTTTATGTTGTCACGTTATCATTTGCTTTGTTAATCTCTGAAGTATTCTTAAAAATTCTATTTTTTTCCTGAGAAGGCCAGAAAGTTATTTTTGTAATTGTGTTGTGGAATTCAGTTCAGTGGACCAAAAAGGAAGTGATTTATTTAAAGTGCTTTAAATAGTATTTTAAAACATGTGCCAGATGTTAAAACCAAACAAAGCCATAGAAGATCTATAAGTATATCCTGTGTACTTACAGATATAAGTATATACTTATAAGTATATCCTGTGTACTAACTACTCATCGATAACTTCGATAAGTAGTTAGCAATGTACACTCCTTATTTTGCATCTTGGAGCAGCCTTCTACTGTGCCTGGTTCAGTTTCCCATTCTACTTTTACCGGGTCTAATTCTATAGCAAAGTTATAGGTGCAGTTACGATGCTTCAAAACCATGCCTTGAATTGATTGTAGTCTCACTTAAACTCTGAAACCATGAAAATGGGCTTAAAGCTACCCTTATGTTTCAATAGCGTTGCAAAACATTAAATGTTTTGTAGAAGTAACTGTGATAAAGCTTGTCTAATTGATTTGTTTGGAGACATTAACACTTTGCAGAAAAGTCTGGGTAGGCCATTGTGGAAGAACAGTGACCTCCATTAGTGAAAGGAGGTCCATGACTTACGAAATTTTGTAATTTGTCTTATGTTTTATATTCTACATTTTGAATTTTGTTTTTAGACCTCCTTCATAGTTTCACCTTTAAAACCTACTCTTGTACCAGTACAGTATGTGACTGTCAATAGGTGAACCTGTGGAATGGCCCTCTGCAAGTTGGAAGTTTCCATGAAGCAGTGGGTGTCAGTGTAAGCAATAGAAACTGTAGAGGACAGGCTCTGAATTTTTCGTAAGGAGTTGATCAAAACACAGTGAATGAATTAAAAGATATATTAAAGTAAAAGATACATTGCCGTTATCTCCTCTCAAAATATTCTCATTGCTTCAAATACACTTATTCCATCATTCCTACTACTTTCTGAAGCAGCTCTGGAAATTTTTTCATAAGCGTTCTTGCAAGTTGTGATCCAAATACAATGAATGCTGTTGCCACGTGCCTTCAGTGGAAAGCTAGGCCAACAGATGAAAACACTGTGAGGCATTTTGTTGTCCTTATACACATCTAGCACTGTGTGACTTCCTGCTTCTTCCCCAAAGTAAAAATGACTGTGAAAGGGGAAGATTTTGAAGTGAATCAGGACATTGAAGCAGCTACAACAGCATAATACACACATGAAAGAGGACTGCCAGAACTGCTTCAGAAAGAATGAGAGGTAAGTATATTTTAAGCAAGGGAATACTTTGAGGGGGATTAATGGCAATGTGTCTTTTTACAATAATTTAAAACATTTCTTTAAGGTATGTACTTACGTTTTTGTTCACACTAGTGTGTTACTGTTGGTTACTGGGTCTATCTATTGTTAATGTGGCTAAGGAGTTGGGTCTCACTCAAGTTTGCTGGTTTAAGTCCTGGCATTTCTTTAAGTGAGTTGTTTATCCACTTTGTGCTTCAGTTTTCTCAACTCCAAAAATGGAACCTGGATGTAAAGCGTTTATCTATCATCTCAGCATTCCACAGATTGAGGCCAGAGGATGAAGAGTGAGAGGCCAGTCTGGGGTCCATACTGAGATAGAGAGACTTTGTCTCAAAAAAAAATTAATAAAATTAGAAAAATCAAAAACTCAGGTAACAATGGTAGCTACTCTAAGATGATCTGAAATAGTAAATGAATTAATACTGTACATGTAAACTGCTTAGCCCAGTGCTAAGCCTGTAATTAGTGCATGGTGTCTGCACAGTCACTTTGTTCTAGTCAGCAGGGAAGATAATCTGTGAGAGGTGGCTTCTTCAGAGAATGGCAGTTTGCAAGCTTTGTGATAGGCTAGGGTTAAAAGCCTGGCTGGATATTACCTACATTGAGTTTAATGTACTAAAAAGAATATTATTGTCATTTGAGATGGAGTCTTACTGTGTTGCTCAGGTGGCTTGGACTCATGGTTGTGCTGCCTCAGCGTCTGGAGGAGCTAGGATTACAGATGCATGGCACTGTGCTCGCCCAAAACAATATTATTACTATTTTCTTTTTTTTTTTGGTATGAGGAATCAAACTCAGGACCTCATGTTTACCAGGCAGACACCTTGCTGCTGAACTATATCCCTGGCCCAAAAATATTATTTTTGACAGCAGCTCTTTAGATTTATTAGTTTATGATAGGTATACTATTTAGATTTTTTTCTTTGCTTGGTGAAAATAAGTTTCTCTTACATTTTAATTTTATTTAATTGTAATTTTTTTTGGCACCAGGAATCAGCTTTACCACCTTACAGTTGCCAGGCAGGTACTTATGCTGCTGAACTAAATCTCTGGCCTTTAATTTTATTTTTTATTTACATTTGATATTTATTTTTTCCTAACTTTTAACACAGATTTGTATTTTGATTTTTAAAAAATTATTTTAAAAAATATATATAGTTTAAATGTGTTTATATATTATATATATATATGTATATATATAATATGTATAGTTGAGTCACATTGAGTGCATTTACATTGTTATCCAGCCATCATCACTATTCGTTTGGAGAACTTTTCTCATTTTCTCATTTGCCCAAACTGGAACTCTCTTACCTTTAAACAATAACTCTGTTTTCTGTTTCCTGTATCTACTTTGTGGGGACTATTATTTCTGTTTCAATGAATTTGATTAAGTACTTCGTGGGAATGTAGTTAGATAATGTTTGTCTTCTTGTGATTAGGTTCATTTAGCACAGTGTCTTCAAAGTTCATGTTGGTGTGTGTATTAGAATTCCTATCCTTTTTAAGGCTGAATAATATTGTATTGAGTGTACATACTACCTTTAGCCATTCATCTGTCAGTGGACACTTCGATTTTTTCTGCCAGTTGCTAAGAATGTGGATGTACAGACAGAAGTGAAATTTCTGGATCATATGATAATTCTCTGTTTTATTTTTTTAAAGAATTTATTTATTATTTTCCAGATTATTGGCGCCACATCTAATAGGGTACAGAAAGTTCCATTTCCTTTTTATCTGTACTCCCCCCATCCCTTGTGGGTGGAAAGTGCTATGTCATTGGGTGCTACTGAATTTGACTTGCTATGACTTTGTTGAGGGTTTGTGCCTCAGCCGTATCAGTGATCAGAAGGAATGATAGTCTGTGATTTGCTTGTAGTGTGTTTATTTGACTTTGGTATAAGGGCTAAATATGGCCTTATAGGGGGTGGTCCTTCATTTTCATATTTTTAGAATGTGAAAGATTGATGTTCGTCTTTAAATACTTTGTAGAATTTGCCACTGAAGCCAGCAGGTGTGAGTTTTTCTTTTGTAGGAGGCTTTTGAATACATACTGATTCTGTCTTGTTGCTAGTTAGGGTTCAGTTGAGATTTTGTATTTCTTTATGGTTCAGTTTTCATAGCTTTTGTGTTTCTTAGAATTTATCTGTTTTATCTGTGTTAATACAATTGGTTGACAGAGTTATTCACAGTACTCTTGGTTTCATTGATTTTTTTTTTTCTGTGTTATTCTAGTTTCTATTTTACTTGTGCTCCAGTCTTTATTGTTTCTTTCTGATAGATTTGGGTTTAGTTCTTTTTTTCCCTTAGTTCTTAAGATATAAATTTTGGTGGTTGATTTGAGAGTTTTCTTTTATTTTGAGCTATAGATTTCCCTTATAGTACATTTTTGTATGTCTTACTGATTTTTCTGTCATGCTTTTACTTTCATTTGTCTTTAAAGATTTTGTAATTTTCTCTTATGATTTCTTTTTTGACTCAGTGACTGAGAGTGTTGTGTAATTCCCACAAATTTATGAATTTTCCGGTTTTTTTTATCGAATCTTTACTTTCTGCTTTGAGGTTGGAGAAGAAACTTTGTATGATATTTATCATTTAAATTCTGTTGAGACTTGATTTGTGGTCTCATATGTGGTCCATCCTGGAGAATGTCCCATGTACATTTGGTACTGTTTTCTGTATGTTGTTAGATTTATTTGGTTTATTGTGATCCAGTGCTGTTTCTTCTGCAGGGTTGTTTATATCCTTATTGACTATTAGGGTACAGAGGTCCTGATATTGTAGGATTTTTTTTAATTGGTTAATTTTTGTTTTTGATGGTCTGTTATGAAGTGTGTAAAGGTTTTTAACTTATCTTTTTCCTCTGTTGAACTATTTATTAATATGTAATGTACTTTGTCTCTGGCATCCCTATTTTGGTTTAAAGTCTGATATTAGTTTATGTATTCCTACTTTCTTTTGGTTACTGTTTGCTTTGAGTATATTTTCCCATCCTTTGACTTTAAACTCATTTGTGTCTTGTTTTATTTTTGTGGTATTCAGGTTGGAACTCAGGGGTGGATCATTTTCAATTATCCTGTCAATGAATCTCTCTGTGTTTTTTTTTTTTTCTTGTACAGTGCTAGGAATCATATATCTTTCTTTTGATAGCAAATTTCATTCATTTACATTTAAAGTAATTACTAATAAGGGACTTATTGCTGTTTAATGAGCATTGTTATATGCCTTATTGCTTTTTGGTTCCTATCTTACACATTTCGATTTTCATAGGGGTAATGGAGCTGACTGGACTATGGTAGGTGGTATGATAAAAAATATGGAGAATGTTTAAATTTAAAAAAATTATTATTGTTGCACATTGCCATTAATCCCACTCAAATACTTTCTTTTGCTTTGAACAAGCTTATTACATCTTGACACTTTCTGAAGCAGTTTTGAAATTGTTTTTCATGAGTATACTTCATTGGGCTGTTATGGCTGCCTCAATCTCCTGTTGATTGAAAATGATTATCTTTCATGGCTGCTTTGACATTGCAAAGAGCCAGAAGTTGCACAGTGCCAGACCTGGTGAGTAAAATAGATGGCGACACTCCATAATTTTTCAGGAGTCTGCATTTCCCTTGGGTGCCACGTGGAAGTAACATTCACTGTATTTTTGACCATACCTCGTAAAGACATTCATAAAAGGACTTCTAGAACTGCTTTCAGAAAGTGACAAGAATGATGAGAAAATTATATTTCAAATTTTAAGGAGGTGGAATGGCAATGTAGCTTTATTGATATTTTAAAAATTTAAACATACATTTTGATCAAACTTCATACTTTTCTTAAAAAGTAGAATCATTGTAATAAGTCACAGTCATGGGTTAGAGACAGAGAAAATGTTTCAAGGTAAGAATTTTAGTTTCATGTATCATCTGTATAGACAGAAAATTTGGCATTTAATTCTAAAAATAATTATAATCTTAAGTTGGGAAGAAGAGTTATTCTAAGTAAGTTATTAAATTAAAGACTAATAAAATTCTGATCCTCTAACAGTAAGCTCTTATTTGTTGTAAAATTAAATGTCACATTTTATATGTGTCTGAACATCTTTTGTAGATAGTGTATAAACCATTCAGTCCTGTTTGTTTTTGTTAAGGGTTCATGAACGCAAAGGGTATAAAATGCAACTTTTTAAAAAAAATTTTTTTCTTACTGGGGATCGAACTCAGGACCGCCTGCTTGCAAGGCAGGTGCTTCTGCCGCTGAGCTAAATCCCCAGCCCCTAAAATCCAACTTTTTATAGCTTTACTCTTTCATAAAGTTATAGTTGTACTCTTTCACAGTATATAGGCGAAATAAATTTGCAGATTGGACTAAAGCATTTATAACGTAGTCATTGAATATTACCAAGTAAGGTAACTTGATGCAAATGCATACCTTAATGTAATAACATGGACAGAGTTAATGCAGTGTAAACCTTCTCCAAGGTATGTTTTATTGCTAATTTATATGCTAGGCAGAGCATCTCTCTTGCTGGGCATTTACTTATCTCTCTCTGTGTTAGAGTACATATGTTAGTTGTTTTCCTCTCTCAGAATGTCTCAGTTTTACCGTTAATGATGTTGCCAAGGTTATGAGCATCTTCTCTGGAGTATTTCTTATTAAATAAGTAGGCTTTGACTGGGTGTGGTAACGCATGTTTATAATGCCAGCACTTAGAAGGCTGACGCAGGAGAATCACAATTTAAGTGTTACCTGGGCAATTTAGCAACTTAGGGATACCAGATAAAAACTAAACCAAGAGCAACTGGGAATCTAGCTCAGTGAGAAGGTCCTGAGTTCAATATCCAGTATCACAAAAACAAACAAAAGAGCTAGATTTATAATTTTTTATTACATTGACAAAGCCAGTGTGGAGGAATGGTAGCTCCCTTTGAATGGGTTCTCCAAAAATGATTTCCTTCTAGAGCATA